GGAAAACAATGGAGGGGCTAACAATGTTCAAGAGGAAGTGTACTCATTACCTCACTCATGTAACTGTAACCCTCTGTATAGTATCTTTACAATAAAAAAATTAAAAAAAAAAAAAGGAAAACATCTCATTTAGCAGTCCCCAGCTAGCTTGAGCTTTGGAAACAGTCATGGGTGCAACCCGGCTTTCTGGAATTTGTGAGAGGACTGTCAGACAAAGTATTGGTAATTTTTTAGCTAAATCAGAAAAAGAAATGCAGGAGATTTGAAAGTTAATGAAAGCAAGAGATGGCCATCATTTTTTTTTTTAAGGCCAGGTCTTGATCCTCCTGCCTCGGCCTCCCCAGGGCTGCAGTCTGGGTGTGGTGGCATACACTTCACCAAGGTTTTTCTTTCCAGTGGAGTAAGAACTAAGAAAGGAAAGGGGGTGAGGGAATGCTAGATTTTATTATCCCTTCTTTAGTTTATTATGCGCATATAAATGCTTTTAGTTACTTAACAGGAACTTAAATACTTTAGGTGTTAAAGGGTTTGCCTTCTGCTCTATCTTAGTGGAAGGTTCCAGAAAAAATGGTTGTGTGTGTGTGTGTGTATAAAAAACATATAGCATATATATATAGTGTATATATAATATATACACACATATATTTATGTATACCTCACATATTATTTCCTTGTATAAAATGTTTTTGGTAGATTTTCTCTAGGAAATAAAGTGTTAAGTATCAGGCTATGTAGTTTTGGGTATTTAATTCATAATCTTCTTGTAGGAGGTAAACATTAGAGATCATTATTGCATTTATTAACCTGAAAAATTAGTTTGACAGTTGATAAGCTTTATACTTGGATCTTACTACTATTTTTTTGGCCCGGGGCTTGAACTCAGAGCCTAGAGCTTTGTTGTTTAGCACTCTAGTACTTAGATATCTCATGCCAGGGCTGACTTCAAACTGTGATCTTTAGACTTCAGCCTCCTAAGTAGCTAGGAGTACAGGAGTGAGCCACCAGAGCCCAGCTTTTTAAAAATATATAACCTTCAGGATGCACCCATTGAGAAACAGTGCTGTGGTTTTAAAATCCTTTGTGATGGAAAAATGAATTGTTAAAATGATTTTCAAATTTAATTGTACTTTTCTTTCCTTTCCTTTTTTTTTTTTTTTGCTGGTCCTAGGGCTCAAACTCAAAGCTAGGGCTCTACTACCTGAGCCACAGCACCACTTCTGGCTTTTTCTGTGATTAATTGAAGAGTCTCACTGACTTTTCTGCCCAGGCTGGCTTTGACCATGATCCCAGATCACAGCCTCCTGAGTAGCTTGGATGACAGGTGTGAGCTACCATCACCTGGCTTAATTTTAAAACTTTTACTTGTTAGTCAAGGGTCAGATTAGGGTGAAGATTGCTGCATGGTTTGTGTTATCAAGAATTGCTTCTGCAGGTAGATGTAGCCTGAGCTGGTTTGATGGACGCTGTCATCTCTCCCCATGTGGCACAGGTGAAGTTGGTGAACATCAGGAATGATGACATCACGGATGGCAACCCCAAACTGACACTCGGGTTGATATGGACAATAATTTTGCACTTTCAGGTAAGAGCCAGTTTTCTTAGTCATCATCTTTTAGAACTCAAGGATAATTTTCAGTTCATATGAAGGCTTGTTATGTCCTCCAAATGAAAGATAAGTTTTGCCAGGCATTGGTGGCTCACGCCTGCAATCCTAGTTATTTAGAGGACTGAGATCTGAAGATTGTGCTTCTAAGCCAGCTTGGGCAAAAAGTCCCTGTGAGACTCTTATATCCAATTAACCATTCAAAACCCAGAAGTAGAATTGTGGCTAACAATGTTACTGCTATCCTTGAACAAAAGAGCTCAGGGACAGCATCCAGGCCCTGAGTTCAAGCCCCAAGATCTACCAAAAAAAAAAAAAAAGGTAAGTTTCGTGCTGATTTCCTTCGATAGCACATTTGATTGTTCTTTCAAGTGACATGCTGATTGTAGCCCTGACATCCTCCTCCTTCCTATCCTCCATGAACTGAGATTTGGGTTTAAGGTCCACCCTTGTACTCCTAGTGTTAGACAATAAAAGATTTCTTTTTCTTGAATATGAGCTCTTATATTTGGTTCTTTGGACAGTAGAGATGTGAAGATTTATGGCCAGGTCATTAATTTAGAATAATTTTATCCATGTTGTAAAGCTCTATGTCTTTTGTGGTCACTAGATGGCAGTAGAATTATACTAAGGAGGTCTGAATTCAGAGTCCTGGCCTAACAGCTGTGGCTCATGCCTTAAGTGTAGCAACTCAGGAGGCTGAGATTTCAAAGATTGAAGCCAACTTGGTCAGGAAAGCCTGTGAGACTCATCTCCAATTAACTACCAGAAAGCTGGAAGTGGCTTAAGTCTTGAGAAAAAAAAGAAAACAAAAAGCTCAGGGATAGTGCCCAGGCCCTAGGACTGACACAAAAAAGAAAAAGAAAAGTACTGTATCTGTGTGTATCTGTCTAGCGTTGAGGGACTTAGCGCACGTTTTATGGATAATTCTCTAATGAAGTTGTGCTGAATGATTGGCTTTGATTTAGTTTTTGTGATCTCACATTTTGAAGACACATTTGCCTTTGATTTAAGGTGACTCTTAGCTTTGGAACTTGCTCATGCCAAGTTCGATGTGCATTTGTGTGCCTGGCATGCAGTAGATACACAGCACACTGCAGGTGCATGGAACACAGTAGGCTGCGGCACACCCTTCTAAGTGACTGTGGCACTGGAGAAGAAGATGGCTGTGTGGGAGCTCCCGAGGGGGCTGGCACAGGGCAGGAGCTGGTGAGGCCGGCTGGGTGTGCATTCCTGATGTCCGATGGGGCGCCCGGCACGGCAGGAGAACCACAGAGGCATTAGGAGATGGGAGATGCTGGACTCATTCTTGGCTCTTTTGCTGCTGGCTGTGATGATACAGGGTCAGTTCCAAATGCTCAGAGCTTGGGGAAAAATGTGCTCTAGGAAATAGCAGCTCCCAAGCCTATATGAGATAGCTGGAAAGGCCAAAGCCTATCAGTATGGAGATGAGCGGAGAGGCTGAATCGTGGTCTTAAGAGTAGAGTGACACAGATGAGGGCTCGGCGGGGTGGAAGATTGCATCTAGGAGACGACAGCCATTTCGGAAGACCATTTTATTCATTTAAAAATACCTATTGTGAGCATCACAAGTTGAGTTTGTCAACCAGCATTCTGAAGGTGTGCATTACCCACAATGCCCTGCATCCTGTGACACATAACTTCCTGTCAGGAGTCCTCATCAAGTGTTAGGAATGTGTTGGTGATGTAAATAAATGTAAATAAAAAGGGAACTGCGTGGTGATGGGTATGGGAGAGGCTAGCAAGGGAGTAGACAATACCGAGGATGTGTATAAATTTTAAATACTTGCACACAAATGTTAAAGATGGGCTTTGTGAGTCAGATGCCACCTACCAGAAGATACCCACGTTGGGCTATTTCTGAGAAAAGGTGCCCTGTATGTGGTTTAAAAATGTCCAGTGCTGGGCTTGGCAGGGGCAGAGGAGAGGATGGAGCTGTCATGCTGGGGCCTCTCCCATGTATGGGGCAAATACCAGTCATCAGGCCTTCCAGCACCCTGCAGTACCTTCCATCGCCTCTGAAGTCATGAGAACGTGAGACAAACTCAAGGCCTTTTTTTTCTTTTTTTGCCAGTTGTCATCTAGAATATTGAAGTTTTGCCCAGGAAAATGTTAAATTTACTTTTCACACGATAAAGGAAATCTTTAAGAAAAAGGGTCTGTTACTAACACCCTTCAACACCATCAGTAACTTGACTGTTTAATTGAGCATTTACTCAGCAAGGTTATAAGCCCCATCTTCGGATTAGTCTAGAGAACACCAGAAAAGGAAAGGCTCAGGTTCTCTTTTTGTTGCTCGGTGGTGGTGGCCTGCTTGTATGCCATTCTGATTGCCTTTGTGTCTTATCTGTGATTCAGTGCTGGAAATGCACCGCAGATAACCCAGCCCCATCGTGATGTTAACTTTTCCAGCAAGGCTTTGCTAAATGGCATAAATGTTTAACTAGAGTCCTGGTCTGTGGGTCACACCTGGAGCTGGCCTGCTTAACTCACATAGAAGAATGTGCAGGTGTTTCTGTGGCCAAGTATCTAATACTCCATATCATACCGCTTTACTCGTTGCTCATATGAAATCCCTAGTGATCAGAGAGGGCTGTGTTTTTGAAATGTGTGTTACTTGAAAAGTATCCCAGACTACCATAAAAGATTGATTTTAGAGGCAGATTGAATAAAGAATTGTAGACATTCACGTTTCTCCTTCAACTAATTATTGACTCATATTTTATGCTGTGGTTTGGAGTAAAAGCCAGTAGTTTTGAGGTTGTCAAGCTTTTTGTGTGTGTGTGTGTGTGTGTGTGCTAGTCCCAACACTAGATTCATAAGAAAAACAACTGCGTGCTATAAGGTGGCATGCTCTCTAATATCAGTTCCCAAGAGCTCTCGGCTGGGTCCGTCCACCTGGAGTTTGCTTTCTGTTTGCTCTCAGCTGTGGGCAGCCAGCAGCAGTTCCAAAGGTTAACACACACTTGGGTGCTGTGTCTGTGAGCGTTAGTGAGCTCACACAGTAAACCCCAGGTCGGAGCTGTGACTTGACAGTGAGCACTGTTTGTCTACGAGGATTGGTGGCCAGAAATAAGCCTCGGCGCCTAATGAGACACAGGGACGTCTGGGCCGGCTGCCAGGGCATTTCTTGCGTGCGCTTTCTCATAAGCAACATGGCCTCGGGCTGAAGAGGATGGTCACAGAGTCAGCGAGGAGTCCGTAGTCGGAGCGGAGGGCTGGGCTGGCTCGCAGAGGTCTGCAGCAGCCCTGGGGTTGGAATGTGTGCCTTTGCTGAGTTCTGACTGTCTCCTGGTCCAATGGGGAGTATCTGCGGCTGTGTCAGGGCTGAGAAGGAAGAGCGCTGCCCGGACCCGGCGAGGGCCCCCTGGGGCCTGGCAGAGTGCTCCCCAGGAAGAAAATACTTCAGAAGGAGACAGATCCAGGGCAGTGTAGGCAGCCGGAAATTGGTGGAGCAAAACAGTGAAGATGCAGGCAGGAAGACGAGTGGTTTCCAGTGCCCAGGAGGACAGCCAGTTCCAGCCCAGCAGTCTGGACAGTGGCTGCGGCAGGACCCCACTGCACCCTGCCCCACCCAGGACCACCGTGCCTGCACAGAAGACACCGGAGAGGAGACACAGGTCGTAGCTGACAACACCACGTCTGACCAAGTAAGCGCCTCCGCTGCTGGAGACAGTGCCACGGGGGCAGAAGCCAGCACACCGGACGGAAAGAGGTCAGACAGCACCCCCGGCCCCATGGAGAGCTCTCCTGCGGCTGGTGCCAGCACAGAAGTCACATTCCAGCCAGAGGCTGGCCTTTTCTCTCCCCACAAGGCAGCCGGCCTCACTTGCGCCCACGATGGCATGGAGAGGTGGCCTGAGCGTTGGGGGGTTGCAGAAAAGCCAGCAGAAAGTGGCAGCAGTGCTCCACAAAGGCAGGCCATGGACAGCTTGTGCCCTCCTTCCACCTCCCACGGCCACTCCCTTGGTGACACCGTGTCCCCTGTCTCCAAGGAAGCCCTTGCAGACGAGGCTGGTGCCACGGAGTCTCCGTTTAAGGTAAAGAAGTGTCTGTGCGCGTGCACAGATCTGCCCTTTGCAATGTCTCCTGTGTCAGTGTCTTCACACTCCTTTATTTATGTGAGAGTCATAGGGCTTGGGTGCATCTTATTCACAATCTTAGGATTTTATCTTTTGTGTTATCGACATCCTTTATTTACTTGTTGGTTTCAAACACTGTATAGTTTCATGGTTGGATCACTTAGAAAAGCATTGGTTTAAAGGAATCCATGTCAACTGTGTGGTAGAATAGTCAGTGGACACTTGGCCTAGTGGTCTGTAGCGGTCATGACAACAGAATATTTTGCTTCAGAGCGGATGGAAGAGAGGACATGAATGTTCCCAACACAGACATGATCAGTGTTGGAGGGGTGGGTGTACCAGTGCCCCTGACCTGATCACTATATACTCTATGAAAATGTAACACTGCACCTATGAATGCACACAGCATGGTGTGTAAATTACAGCACAGAAACAAAAAGAAAACAGCCTGGATTTGTTCCACTGTTTGATGTGTGGAATATAGTACTGACTTGCTTGCTTGTCAGTCTGGAAGGACAAGTTCTTGTTCTCTCTCATTCTCTCTCTCTTTCTATCTCTCTCTCTCCCCTTCCTCTTTCTTTCCCCCTCTCTCCCCCTCTCTCTCCCTCTTCTTTCCTTCCTCTTCCTCCCTCCTTCCCCCCCTCTATCTTTCTCTCTCCCTCTCCCCCCTCCTCCTGTCTCTCTCCCTTTTGCTTGCTTATTTGGCTGATGGCTCTACTACTTAAGCCACATCTCCAGCCTGGCTTATTGCTAGTTATTTTGTAGATGGAATCTTGGGGACTGGTTTTTGCCTGGATTGGCTTTGAACTGTGATCTGGATCTCAGCCTCCTGAGTAGCTAGAATTATGGCATAAGCCACCAGTACATGGCCTCTCT